TTGGTGAGACCTTCACAACAGTATCTGTATAATGAGGTGACAGTGTAGTAAAAAGAACTCCACTATTTTTGCTGGAGTTACGAGGTCGTCTATTTAATATGGTGCAGACAGCTCAAACGACCCCATTACCAGGTAAAACGTGCAATTTTTGTGCGTCAGGTGTGTTTTCAGGGGCCAATGTCTTTGCATCAAATTGCAGACTATTTTGCATGGGGGCTACCACATTAACATGCGGGATGCTAGTGTTACCAGCAGCCGATTTAAGAGGGCTTAGTGTTGTTGATGGGTATTTAGTGCTGCTTATCTAGTTGTCCTGTGTACTTGATATCTGTAAGCAAACCGTTCTGCTAGTTTGTACGCGAGCCGTATCCTATCATCTCGCATTATCACATCTTTTCCTTATTTTTTCCGTCACCGAGGCAAATTATTGACTTTAACGTCTCCATTCCAGCCCAAATGTCGTAGAAAGTGTTGTCACTGTATTGTTTACTGAATTATGTGCGCCTCCCAAATTTGTCGTCGCATTCAAAGCCTGAAATATATTGTTTGCCATGCAGTGATGTTTTAACCTACTAAATGCCAGGCACATTGCACTAGAATCGCTTTGGCAGCGCCTTTTTATTCAAAGGGTATCTGTAATTTCTATTTTCATCAATTTAAGGTAATGGTCGTGACAACTGACATGTTCGTGCCGATCATTTCACGATCCTTGAAAGCACCAAACAATTGCATGTGTAATGAATTGCGTTTATTCTGTATAGATGTGGACAAATGCGGCATGATAACAAAGGGACTATTTTCCCTTATTTGGCCAACACAGGGAGGAATGAGATCGGAAAATAGTCGGGACTAAGTCTACTAAACACACGGAGACGTCGCCATGGTGATACCTCAGCGTGTTTACGTGCTGAAAGCATGCAACATGTGTTTTTCAGTCATTGTGCCTAAGTATTTCTAAGCTGTTTTTTTCCTGTAAAGTGGGACACGAGACGCTTGGTATTTTGCCTCCCAGCCTTACACGGTGCTAGAATGGCTGTAGTTGGCAACACATAACACCTGCCCGTATCACCGCACCAGTCCAATATCCAATAAAACGATTTTTACTCATATTTGATAAAATTATTAACCTGTTGCGAACTGCTTCGGACGTATGGTTCAAATACGGATTGCTTCAAACCGGTGAAACGCATGAACGAACGGTAAGCTCGATAAAAGGGAACTTTTCTAGTGTACTACCAACAAGTTGGCAGCAATTGCATTAAATATTAAAGGGCAGCAGGAATTTTCCTGGACAAAACATATGGACCGGGAAGCCAGATGCAATCCAATTTCACGTGGTGCCGACGATAACAATGCCTGGATCACTTTCGAACATGTGTATGGGCTTGAAACGGAAATTTTCCGACAAATTATAAGAGGTCAAATAAAATTTGTGTATGTATCGCCATAGGCGAAACATCACTATTTTTCTCACTCTTTGGCAGATGCAGCTACGTCATCAATAACCAGTATAAAAGTTGCACTCGTTTGATCTATGAAACGCAGAGTAAAAATACGTTGTGTTCGCTTTTCTTTTCAACAAATTCCCAAAGGAGTACCTTCACACGTTACGCACTTCAGTGTTAACACTCAAGTGTGGCACTATTGGGTGTTTGTATTGTTTGGTTGGTGGGACGCACGCTTCAGATTTGGAATAAGCATAACAGGGCACTTTTTCAAAGCAAAAACAAATGAGAGAGAAACGGCAGTTCTAGTTGGCGAACAGAGCGGACTGGTTCCACAGAACCTAACAGGATTCAGGGGATGGGCCGACTGGTTTACCCATCACACAATACTCATAGCTGCAGCCGGCCAATTTCCAGCCGGTATGCGAGATTCCTTATACCAAGAACAACAAAAATATAAATCGGTAATGTTTTGGAATTAAAACAGTTCTTGTGGCATGAAATGTTATTTTACGAGTGCTCTGGAAATGTCAACGGAATGTTGATTGAATGCAGCTAAATGCAGTAGTGACAACTGGAACAGACAATGGAAAACCTAATGTTTTAGCATGTGCATAGCGTTTCGTTATTTCCAGTTAGCTCAATTGGTCGAGCACTGGACGCTGTGTAACTAACGTTGCCTAACTAACACACCAGACGAGGACGGTAGCTCGAACAATTATATCCTCCGTAATACCGATGAACGCAACCTGATCGCAAACAAAAGCCAGCTCATACCGAAACCAACCGGCTAAACCAGCCGCGGGAAAGAATATCCATATTGAGGCTGCCGGCTCCGCAACTCGACCTATATTGGTATGTCTACAACACCCATATTGCAACGCATCAACATGCGTCTGCAGGAGGGAACCCAGGCCAGCATATGCGCAAAATCGGCAAAACCTTACAAGCTCTGACCTAACCCAAAACACCCTGAACCTAAATCGTGTTCACCCAAATGCCGTCTGCAAGTCCTGGGCCAATCTTCATCAAACAGAACTTCCAGTACATTGATTTTCACGTGTTGTTTGCTGGTGATAGAATTTCAGTTTTTTGGTGAAAAAATATGAAAAGGTTCGTTAGAAATATAATGCATATATATACACATATTTCCTCATATATATATATATATATATATATATATATGCAAGTTTTCTTTTACGCAGGGGTAAATGAACATTTCATCAGTTTCTTGGGCGCTTGTTCGATTGCACGAATTAAATATTTCCTTATTTTCGGTAAGTTCCTAATCAACTCGCCGAAAGTCATACACATTAGTTTAAGCTAGCTAACGTGTCCAGGGCATTCGCTTCCCATTATCAAAACAATCTAAGGCTTGTCGGACGGAAAACATTCAAATATGGTACAGTGCGACGCATGCATATATTATATATATATATATATATATATATATATATATATATTAATGCCTTGGAAATATGTGAATACGTGCGTACGCACGTATATACGCACGTGCTGGCGGGCGGACGGGCGTGCTTGTACGCTTGCGTGCGTGTGTACATACGTACGAGCGTGCATGTGTGCGTGCGTGCGTGGGTGCGTACGTGAGTGCGTACGTGCGTGCGCGCGTGCGCGTCCTCGCGGAACCGAATGAAAGTCAGGGACCATGCCGCGACGGTTTTGATGGGAGCCAGGGACGACAAGGTCTGTTTGTCCCGTGTTTACCCGCAGACCGCGGGAGTGAAGCCAGGGACGATAAGGTCTGTTTGTCCCGTGTTTACCCGCAGACCGCGGTAGTGAAGCCAGGGACGATAAGGTCTGTTTGTCCCGTGTTCACCCGCAGACCGCGGGAGTGAAGCCAGGGACGATAAGGTCTGTTTGTCCCGTGTTACCCGCAGACCGCGGTAGTGAAGCCAGGGACGATAAGGTCTGTTTGTCCCGTGTTCACCCGCAGATCGCGGGAGTGAAGCCAGGCGTCCAGTGAGTCTAAAGCCTGTTCCAGTTCAGCAATGGGTAGATGAAAGGAGTTTTTTTTTTTGCCACAGACTTAAAATTGGGCATGGCCATCGCTCTGCAACACGTGCGCCTCAGGGGCGTGGAAGGATTGGCAAAAAAGGTCTGGAAAAGGACGGGTGGAGCGAGAATCCTCGGCAGACTCCAATAGTACTGGGCAGCAGTCTGGAAAAGGGTCAGTTTCCACGTCCGTCAGCTGTACACACAGATTGATTGTGGCCACTGAGGCAAGAGGAAAACCAGGTTGGATCAATAGAATTGGTTTTGAAGTTGGTGTAGAAGTTTGCGTGACCAATCACGCTAAAACATTGGGACAGATCGATTAGGCAGAGTCGAGTAAGATCTCGACGGTCAATAGCGGTGAGCATGTGTTCGGATGTGGTAAGAAACATGATTTCCGTGGGCGGGAGTACAAACTTTGCTGGGAAGAGGAGAAAATGTGTTGTCAGCCACGTATGAGTAGAACTGTCGATGATTATTACTCTCTCCAAGGTTGAGTAAGGCAAAATAGCGGAGGTGGGTCTAAAGTTGGAGGTTTCGGAAAGGCTCCCGAGTTTTTGAATGGAATGTGCAATGGTGTGTGTCCAACATGTGGGTTATTTCCAGGTTATAAGACAGGTGTTGATAATGTAAGGGAAGACATGGACCATGACGTCGAATCAAAGTTTAGGAATCAGCTAATAGAGGTATCTTCAGATTCCAGGGGCCATGGAATTTTCGTCGACAAAATGATATTCTGAAGAGAGTCCAGAGTGATAGGATTGATAGAAAAAAGCACCGGTTTCTATCCTAAGTAGTCTGCGCGGAAGCATAAGCATCTCACTCCTGAGTCGGGCCTCATTCGCGGCTCTTGGGCCCACCCTAAAACCTACTTGATCATCTCGTCGAGGGTGGGCTCAGGCACAACTCGCGAAGTGGACCTCTTGCTGCCTTTAATTCGGCAGATTGTCCCAAGGGATGGTGGTTGGTCACTGCACTCTCACCCGTCTGGCTATGGACTGCCTGACATCGTGCCTGATGGCTCATTTGACTTTGACAAGGGTTAGAAAAACATAAGTCCGACCACCACGTCAAGTCCACGTTGTAGCGCCAGCAACCGCGTGGCGACGTCCTAGGTAGGGGGCAAAGGATTGTAAAGCTTGAGCTGTTGCAGAGCGGCATGATGCTCATATATAATAGAAAAAAGCAAATCAATGAACCAGCGCAACGATCAGCAAGCACCACGCACGGGAACACTGGGCTTCAGTCAGTTTCATGAAGCGAAGAGCATGAAAATCAAACAAGTTCAGCAGTTGGAGACTTCTTGTCTGTCTGTGTGTGCCGTCTTTTACCTGTGTGCGCAACGCTTCCAACTGTGTGTGCTGGGGAGAGGAGAGAAGACAGAGCAACGCATTCCGGGACGTGTTTGGGCCAACGCCACCCATATGTGTGTGTGCTACTCCTGACATCGTGTGTCGCTGCAGGAGGCTTGTGCGTTTCTCGAGTGTGTCCTGACCGCTGCCTACTGTCTTTGTTGCTATTAACCGTACGTGTCGTTGGCAGGAGGCCACCCACAGCCGCGCCTTCTCCGGCGTCGGCCGGCCGCTGACGTTCAAAGAGCACGGCCTGCACCGGCGGATGGGGCTCATCTTCTCGGACGGCGACAACTGGCATCAGATGCGACGCTTCTCACTCCGCGCGCTGCGCGACCAGGGCTTCGGCCGCAAGGACGCGCACCGACAACATCAACGAAGAGCTGGCCGAAGTCCTGGGTTCGCTGATGGTCGCGGCAAAGGAGGGCCACGAGGTCCAGGTACGCGGCCTCTTTACCCTGGCCGCCACCAACGCGCTCCTCCAGCTGATCATAGGAACCAAGCTGCAGCGGGGCGGGCAGGTGGAACATCTGACCGAGCTCGTCGATCGGAACGTGAACAGCCTCGGCCCAGCCTGCATGCACCTCGAGCTGTTCCCCTGGCTGCGTCACGTGGCGCCTCGCCTCTCCGGGTTCCAGCAGTTCCACGACGACGTCCAGGAGATGGTCGATGTCTTCCTGCCGCTGATAGCCGAGCACGCCCATAGCGTGGTGGATGATCAGCCGCCGCGTGACCTGGTGGAGGCGTTCCTCCAGCAGCAGCGCGAGCAGCGGCCCCCCGCATCGTTTCACGAAGGACAACCTGCGCTGCCTGCTCAAGGATCTGCTGATGGCCGGAATGGAGACGGTCAACACCGTCATGGAGTGGGTCATCCTGATACTGGTGTTGCATCCAGACGTGCAGGCACGCGCCGCCGCCGAGGTGGACGAGGTGGTCGGCCATGACCGTACGCCTGCCATCGACGACATGCTGGCCATGCCCTATCTGGAGGCCGTGATCGAGGAGACGATGCGCTGGATGCCCGCCCTGCCTATCGTACAGCATGCCACCACCTTCGGAGCCACGCAGCTCGGCGGCCGCCACGTGCCGGCGAACTGTCGCGTGTTCATCGACCTGAGAAGCGTGCTGCACGACGCGGCGTTCTGGGGAGACCCGGAGTGCTTCCGACCCGAGCGCTTCTTGGCGCCGGACGCGGCGCACCTCAAGGAGCGGCTGCTCGGCTTCGGGTTCGGCCTGCGCCGCTGCATCGGCGAGACGCACGCGCGCCAGGCGCTGTTCCTGTTCACGGCCGGACTGCTGCAGAGGCTGCGGCTGCAGCTGAGTCCCGGTCAGGCCGACCCCAGCCGGCCGGGGCCCAGCCTGGTGCTCAAGCCGCAGCCGTACCGCATCACCGTCCAGACCAGGGAATGAGCCGCACCGGAGGCGGCAGCGGCGGCAGAGGAGGAGGACATCCCGCCGTCGGAGGAACGATGCTCTGTGCTGCCGGAGGCGGCAGCGGTGGCGGAGGAAGAGGGGCATCCCGCCGTCGGAGGAGCGATGCTCTGTGTGACCACGGTATGAGCGACGGTTGTCATGGACTGCCCTTGACCTTGCCTAGATGCTGCAAGAGCTCTCTTTTCGCCTAACAATAACACTCGCTTCTCGGGCTGGCACTGCCTCTCGCCGCGCCAATGAGCAGCAGAGATGAGGCGAAGCCCACAGAAAACAACATCGAAAGGACACATGACTGAACGGCTCACCTTTTGCCGACCCAGTGATGTGAGGCCAAAGAGGGCCCGAATCTCAAAACACCTCATCGTGGCAAACAGAAAAACGTAGCATGCGAGTCTTTATCCTATTTAGTTCATACTCAAATGTGTTTCAATGCCCTTGCGTCTCTGACATGGAATCTGAGCCGCCTATTACCCTTCTCAAAATTGTTTAAACCAAAGATGACTGAAGGTGGTGTTGTCGTGGCAAATATTCCGGGTTAATCGTATGTATCCATTTATAAACATAAGCGCGGTCCCTGTGAAACTGGACGACTTTGACGAGCATTTTTATAAAGTTTCTCACAAACATGTTTATCTCGACGAGATTGTTTTATTTTTTCCGTGACTAGGCACTGAAACTGAGCGAGGGCACATTGAAGGCATCGAACTATTTGGGTGACGGGACTAGGTAAAGCACCGCAATTGGTAAAAAAGCCGACGTTTTTCAATTAAACCATCAATCGGTCTGCCCTCAGTGATTATGCTGCCATTCGCTAAACCGAGTGCCTCCATAAAAACTCGCTGGTCAAATGGATTGTTTTGCCTTGACCACTACTTCGGGTACTCGCCCAGCCAACAATTTGCTAGATGAAAGTGGGGGAAGACTACACATTTTAGACACTTCCAGTGTGCCAAACCGGTTTGAATTTTTTTTAGTGTTTCCAAGCCTTTTCCATCGAGCCCGTATCACCGACTATTGCTTGGGGAAACTTGGAATTTCCATCAGCCTTCCCAACCGTCAGATTTGGGATTTGTTTATGGGAATCATTTTTCAGTGCGAAATCTCCTTACGCAGGATCGGGACCGTTCCTTACACCCCGCTTGTGGAAATATTGGAATCCGGTTGGGGCAGGTTGAAAATCCCAACAACAGCTGATACTTTCGGAGATTACGTGAGGCATTTCCCGGAAACCGGAAAGTTGGGGAACAGTTTGAAATTCTGGAAGTCCCGGTTGGAATCGTACCGAAATTACTGGCTGAGGTAGCACGAGAAACCCAATGTCATGCCAATCAGTTCATTTAGCACCCAATACCACACCTTTAGATCATTTTCATCCATTCCGAAGGGTTTCATCAACGCATTTATAAGGTGAAGAACCTTTTCCTTATCCAACTCACATCTAACGTAAGTATTCTTCCATGCATCATGTCACCCTATTTCACATAATAAAGACGATGAAAAACTATTCTGCGCCATTGTCGGCCGTTCAGGTGGTGACAATGCCATTTCCACAATGGCAACGCCAGACCGCAGTGTGGCCTGACACCAGAATCAAAAGACTGCGTCAGAGTGAAATGGCACTTCAAAGAAACACAGACAAGTCACTCTTGAGATGGCCACGGGACAGCCTCTGCCCGGGCCGCTGCCGGTGGCCACGCACGTGACCGGACCAGCCGGCCGCCGACCTCCGCGGCCGTCCTTCATCGCCAGGCGCGGCGTGGCAGGCGCGCACTCAGCGTCTTTAAGTAGGGTGGCAGTGGGCAGTGTTAGCGCGGTAACCGAAGAACAGTGACTTCTTGGCGTCCATCCTAGCATTCAAAGTTTCAAGCCGAAGATCCTCGGGCTCTCCACCGAACTCGGAACATTCCCGCACTAGCGAATTTTCATCGGACTTTTCCTTACATCTGAGTGTTGTCTCCAGTGCCTTTTCCTCCGCCTCTTTAATTGACATGTCTGCTGTCGGTGTTTCTGGTCTATTAACCCGTTGTGGCAGCCGGTCTGGCAATTTTAATCCCCACACGTTTTTACGCGCTTCTATATCTGCACCTGAAATGCGTCCCCCGCCCGCCATTGTCCGCTTTCTTGCTTTGCGTCGCATTGACTCGGCCTCTTTTCACTCCGACCTTCTGAGTGCTAACTGATCCAAGGTTTCCTCGTCTGCAACAGTGCCTGAGAAGTGGCAGTACTTTGCACACACTTCACCCAAGTTGTCGACGCGCATGCGCCGTTTTGCCGGACTCTTATCCGCAACCCTGCTACCTCTGTGGCGACGGACACTGCTCGTGACCTGATGCAGCGCCGCCGCCAAGCTCTGCCGCAGCGTGATAACCGCTCTGACACCTACAGGGAGCTCAATCTCGCTGGGCGGTCGGCGCTACGCCGCGACAAGCGTGACTGCATACAGCGTTGAATAGCATGTGGTGGTGCATCCTCGGTTTGGCAATCCATCCGCACCATTTTTGGTGGCCGCAGGTCGGGTCGCGTGACCCCGGACGCTACTTCCGATGTTCTGAATGCCTGCTTTGTTAGTGTGGGTCCTTGTGTGGCTGGAGGTGATCAGTCCGGGAGCACCTTGCGACCTTCCGTGTCGCCTGCCTGGTGTCGGTGCCCGCACTCTGACCTTGTCGCCCCTCTCACTGTCCGAGTTGCGAGCCATGGCTACTGACATGAACAGCTCCTCTGCCAGCGGCGAGGATGACATCTGTCTGCGGGTTGTTCGCCTCCCTTGACGTCATCGGTTACGACATTTCTCCACCTAGTCAACTCTGGCATTTTCTCTCTCCGAAATCCCCATATCCTGGAAACATTCTTCGGGCCCTCTCCATCCCGAAATCTGGCGATCACACCCAAATTTCTAATTACTTCCCCATTCCCCTTTATTTCTGTGATCGCTAAAATCATAGAGCGCGCCGTCCATCAGCAGCTTTATCATTATATCTTCCGCAACCACCTTCTCTCCTCTTACCACCACGGTTTCCGCCTCCCCCCTCGCCACTCCATGAAAACCGTTTTGACCACCAGTTCCGACCACGTCCTTTCCACAAATGACCGGGGTGAAATATCATCGTTCTGCCTCCTATATTTCAGCGAGTGCTTCGATGCAATGACCACCCAAAACTTCTCTACAAACTGCATGTCTGCGGTATCGATACATCCTGGTGTTCAGCCTACCTTCGTAATCACACCCAAAACGTTGGTCTCACTAACCGCTCGGGCACCTCGAAAGTCTCCTCTAAACTTCCAAACAGTATCATGGCACTCCACGGGCCCGCACTGGGCCCTTCCTGTTCAGCGTATTCATGAACGATCTGAGTCTTTTCGCGGAGGACGCTGTGGTGGTCCAGGACGCGGATGATGTTCAGCTTTTGGAACGTAGTCCCAAATCTCAGTTAATTAACGCTATCGCTCGTTTGGAGCATGTTTTGGCCTCACTTGATTGGTTCAGATTCAACGGCCTTACGATCAATGCCGATAAAGCGCAGGTGATGCCGCTTAGAAGCCAACAAAATCTCCGCATCGTTCTCTTGTTCACTGTCAAATTCCGCGATCACTTTTTGTGATCTCCTGTTGGAAGCCAACAATATTTGGCTCGTCCTCGTACACAATCTCCGTTGAAATTTACACGTTTCGCACGTCCGTAAGCCCTGTTACGGCATCTCAGCTGGTCCATCACATCTGAGGCTCAGCCTGCCCGCCAGTGTCCTGATCATCCTGGTGAACGCCTTGGCTCTGTCACAGGCTCGTTATTACATGTCAGTATACGGCAGCGGCTCACAGCTCAATGTGGCCAGGATTCAGCACGTGCTAGGCTTTGCTGTCAACCTCGTTTCCTGCTACAAAATATCGGCCATGTGTCGGACCTACATCAAAGGCTCGGCTGGCTCCCCGATGCAGATCTGGGCAGGTATAACACCACATCACTCAACCACAAGATCCTCCATTCGGGCGAGCATGACTCACTTGCTCGTTTGCCCCGCACTGTGTGTTAAGTGCACGGTCGACCTCACGGGACAGAACAGGGGTCTGTTTTTTATTTCGTTCGCATACTCAGACAGGAAAACAAACGTTTTACTATCCGCGCATCCAAGATGAATAACGAACTCCAGGACTATCTTCGACTTCTGCAGATTGTCACTTTCTCAAAGCCTTTGAAGAGGCATTTCGTGAGACATCGCAGGTTGTCATGGCCGGTTTGTGCGACGGAGTCGTTGCTGGTGTGCATTTGCATGTGTTTTAGTGCGTTGGTTTGGGGGTGATTATCCTTGTCCTCGTGGCCTGTTAGCCGTCCATTTCTGCTGGCGATGGGTTGCAATAGTCCGGAGTTGATTCTGGATTGTCCAAATAAACGTCAATCAATCAATCAAATGGATGCGTGATTTGGTACCGGCTATACCATCTTACGCCAAAGCGAAACGGCTCTGAAAATGGAGCGTCGCATCTGCACCGCTCAAATGACACCCATTTACAATCCATTAATCGCAGCGGACAAACAGCTTCACTTATTGTACCTAACTCCAACAAAAGTAGTCGCGCTCTTTTTGCAGCATTTTGTCGAACGGAGACAAAAATTGCCAGGACTATTGCCCTCGTCGGGTGTGTTGGAACGTACACAGCGCTTCAGCCCCCTCGGTTAGCTCAGCTGGTAAGTTACCGAACTTGCAACTGGTGACCTGACTCGAACCCCAGCGCTGGCGAGGAGAGAATTCGGGCTGTGACGCATGCATGACTGGGAGACAGACTCATCCAGTCTTCCTCAGGACTGCATAACACGTGGCGTTGGCCTAGGAAGATGACGTAAGCGTCGTGTCCAACTGCGGCAACATTAAAACCCCCTCACGCTCTAGTCGTGTACAACTGCGGCAACATTAAAACCCCCCCACGCTCTAGTCGTGTACAACTGCGGCAACATTAAAACCCCCTCACGCTCTAGTCGTGTACAACTGCGGCAACATTAAAACCCCCTCACGCTCTAGTCGTGTACAACTGCGGCAACATTAAAACCCCCTCACGCTCTAGTCGTGTCCAACTGCGGCAACATTAAAACCCCCTCACGCTCTAGTGCGCTTTTCTTCTCGGAGGTTGCTGTTGCTTGCAGAACTTTAAACTGTAACGCACAATGAAGTTGCTGTTCGCAACATTTCTGATCGGGGATGTCTTCGGCAGCAGACATGTCAGACGGATGGAATGATTAATGGTCGGCCCATTCGTTCGATGGTGCAGTAATGAGGCTTGACGGGCACCGAAGCGAGCTGAGGGGACGAGGCTGTTGAGAAGATCTGAGGCTGACGCTGACGCTGCGGTCGGTTGTGTTTGCGGGTCGGGCGAGTGAATGTTAAGCATCCATCACCATTTATCCCCCCCCCCATTTAGCAAGTCATAAGAAGTAAAACCAAATAATCAGTTCTAGATTTCTTCTATGTATTTCAAGATTTGGTCCTCAGCTTTTGATTCGATAGATTTTTGGGATCAGTGCCCGCGCTAAGTGATGCTAGTGGCATGAGCGACGCCAACACGCGACCGTGCGACGCCGCCATGCGATCGTGGAACTCCGTGTCTACGGTAGAATTTTACCACGAAAGCTTAACGTGCCACAACCTTGCACAGCCTTATTCTGAGGGTAGAACTCTCTGACACCACCTGAACTTTACCGCACTCTTTGTTACGGGGCACAATCCATGCCAACCAGGACCAAGAAATGAGTGTGCAAACCGCCTGGAACCATACTCGCCACCAGCGTGTTATATGGAATGTAAGCGCTCGAACAAACTGAGCTATTGGGACGAAATATAGCATGGAAGGGGATATCAGTAATTTCTGCTGGCAAGCTTATGGGAAAACATTTGCGCTTCTGGTTTGACGAAGTGACATGTTTGGAATTAGGAACGTGACAGCATATCGAAATAAGGTTCATCCATTCTATGTTTAGAACTGTGTTTAACTTCCATCTGGGTGGTTCCAGACCACGGCACCAGGATCCGTAAATGCATAGCTTTTTTGATTTTTCACACTCAGTATCAATGAAATTCTACACTGGCACAGCCAGCCGTGCACTTCAGTTGCCTGGAGACCAATATTCATATACATCTCGCGTCGTACACTTCTGATTACGTTTGTGATGTTTTCTTTGCCTTAAATTTGGCCATGTGGTTCTGACCGAGGCGTCGCTCCTCGCCAAACTCCACCCATTATATCCCAAAATATCAGTGTGGCGATCTTACCGTTCTTCCTGATGGAAGTTATACGCAGCTATCAACATAGAAATTAGTAATATGCTTCGTCGCTATTCATTCTAAATATGTCGCTTTTGTTATTTCTGCGTTGCCAATGTTCTTTTCCCCAAATGCTAAACCTTGTCCGCGAAAAAACAGCTGACATTTCCTTCCCTTCTGTAGTTAGTTCCACTAGTTCAGCCTGTTAGAGCGTCTTCATTCCGATATAGCTACCGTTGGCGATAAGGGTTCGGCTCGCTTTATACGCTCATTGTTTGTCCATGGCTGGTACGGGCTGCGGCTGGTAAAACTTGATCAATTATGAAAAGCAGGCATTCCAATGCGTTTACAAAGCCTGGAGGCACCGGTCACTTAAGTATATTTGACGCTGACACTGAGGGGTCATGCGCATATACGAAAATGGGGATGCGACGTGTAAAGCGGGCCCTCTGACCACCGGCACCCTGCTGCCCGGGGCAGACTGACGTCAGTCGGCTCCGGGGGGGGGGGGGGGGACTGGAGCAGGCCCATTGACTGCCGGCGCCCTGCTGCCCGGGGCAGACTTACGTCTTACGTCCAGGATTACGTCTTACGTCTAGGCTTACGTCTCACGTCTAGGCTTACATCTCACGTCTAGGCTTACGTCTTACGTCTAGGCTTACGTCTTCCGTCTACGCAGTCTTATGTCAGTCGGCTCCGGTGGGGGCTGGAACGAGGAGCTCCGTATTTGAACTGTGGTTGGGATGTGTCTGCGATGCCGCCTGAACAGCCTTAGTGTTCACCTTTATCACCTCAATTTTTTACATTATCCACGTCGTTTGATATTCCGCGCCTCTGTCGTCGTTTGATATTCCACGCCTCTGTCGTCGTTTGATATATCGCATTTGTCATCCCCCGCCACGCAATGTTTCTCGCTAATTTCGGGTGTGATCGATGGGTGTGGTGAACGGCAAACTGACAATATACATATTCCATAAATGCTATTGGCTGAATATAATGCCTGTACTTTTTGGGGTATCCAAGGTGATGGGCGAAACCACCCGAGTTCATGGTTTTCCGCGAAGTTTTTGGCTGAGTGCACCGCTTGGATGAGATGTCATGAACGAGAGAAACGCCACCATTCAAACAACTTTTCTGTTGAACCAAATCATAATTTCACTGGGTAATTGTTTTCTCATTTTTATCCGACTTTTTATCGATGATACCATGAGGGTTCATATTTATGACCGGGAAGTTGATGCTGATGTTAATGTGCTACGTTCTGTTTTGTTGTTTGTGCTGTAGTATCCGTGTTCTTGTCACGTTCAGTTGTCCACTTCATACTCTGGCTGCGGAGCGCTGAATTGTGCAGCCGCGCTGCAGAGAGCTGATGTGATCCAGCTCTCAGTATCTATCTGCTAACTACAAACACCAGCCACAGCACAGTGTGAGAACTATCTCCAACATGAACCCCATGAAATCTGTCAGCAATGTACCGAAGTGGGGAGCCTCCACGAGCTCCGTTTGGTAGACCACATAGACATGCGTTTCAAATGCCTGGGGCCGATGCCATCTTGTGAGGTCTATTTTTCCCTGTTACACTTACAATATCGCCTGTTGGCAACGCGTCTACATAATGCGGTCATTTACAGCCAGAGTATGGACGTAAAACGACACGAAGGCAACCCATGTTTTTCGTCCGTCGGGGTCCTGTTGGCGGCGCGGCAGCTGTCGAGGCCGGTCCGCCCGGGGTGGCCGATGGTGTCTGTTCACCCGGTCCGCCCGGGGTGGCCGATGGTGTCTGTCCACCCGTCCACCCGGGGTGGCCGATGGTGTCTGTCCACCGGTCCGCCCGGGGTGGCCGATGGTGTCTGTTCACCGGTCCGCCTGGGGTGGCCGATGGTGCGTCCACCGGTCCGTCCGGGGTGGCCGATGGTGCCAGTCCACCTTTCCGCCTGGGGTGGCCGATGGTGTCTGTCCACCCTTGCGCCTGGGGTGGCCAATGGTGCCTGTCCACCGATCCGTCTAGCGTGGCCGATGGTGTCTGTCCACCGGTCCGCCCGAGGTGGCCGATGGTGCCTGTCCACCGGTCCGCCTGGGTTGACCGATGGTGCCTCTGCAGCGCTCATTCGGCTCCTCCGCGGCTTCCTCCGCTGACTTCACGCCGGCACAGAAGGCTCGACGCTGCACAACCAAATGGTGGCGAAGACGGCCGTTCGCTGGTCTGCCGGACTGGTGAAAACCATGCACCTTCCACGCGCTGGTCGGTCGGAACGTTTCGACAGGATGGGGTGTAACAGTGTTAAGTGATACCGTCCTTGCATGACGCGAACAAGAGTGAAATTATCTTTTTAGTCATTTCATGCGGTTGCCCATTTTTTAACAGCCGGCTCTCCCTTGAGGTATCGCATGCAAATCCAACTGGTGTGTTCATGGACTGACACTGATAGAAGTCAAACCCCAATAAACGTCATGAGAAAAAAATGATACCCAGTATCATACTTCAACGACTGTTACCTAAATCCCTATGTTCTGGGAATCAAAAGCCACCGCCAATACAAGAGGCACATATTCGATGTAACGTAATCCAACATACAACTGACATTAAAACCTACAACACTGTGAGGATGAATTCATTTGCCAACTGATGAGGCGTAACTACGTTTTCGCGCCACGCAAAGTCAAATGACGCGTCCTCGGAATAACGCCCATTGCAATCAGGCTACACTGAGAACCGGCTTTAAAGGACACAAATTATTCCTGGCGTCCAGTTCCAACAATTGAACGGTTCCCAGTTTGAAAAGGTCAAAATGTCAACGTAGGTCATAAGCCTTCAATGACGTTATAAATGTGTATAATTTGTGAAAGGTCAGAAGAGTGTAGGCATTCCGCTCAGGTTGTCTTGTATGTTTATCGAGGGAGCGTAACCCTACGAAACTCTGGCATACGAACATTTGTCCTAGAATCGTACACCAGGCACACACACATCCCGTCAGGAACAATGTTTATTACGCTAAAAAACGAAAGGCATGCGGGGAAGGCAGCACATGTACCATTACAGGCTGAAGAAACAAGCCGTATCACAGCGTGATTACGACCAGAGATAACTATCTGGCCAGTGAAGGAGGAATGTTTAGAGATCGACAGGTAACGGGGGTGGACAATCATGGGATGTACCAGAGAGAAGGTAGGAGTGGGATGGGATGGGGCGTAACGAGACACGGAGGTGGGAAGGCGAGAAACCAGAGAAACGGTTCGCGGAAGGGTGGACGCGAAACATGAAAATGAATAGGGCTGAGTCTCACCTGTTTTGTCGTCTACTGGTCAGCGGGACGATAAATATGCCTCGAAATAACAGCTTTTTCAACTCGCTGAGCCACGAAGAAACACAATATTGATGATGTTGAGGTTTGTCCTCTGCCACAAAGCTATCAACTAAAAAACCGCTGTAGTGAAAGAGCCTCTACCACGTGCTCGCCTCCCTTTAAGGTCAGGCTAAGGGCGATATTTTACAGAATTATCACAGCATTAATACTAGACTTTGACAACGAGGAAGACACCAAAATGAACCGGGGAAACACTCTATAATTCCCATGCGTTTAGCTCCGGATCATTTTCCGCACGTCCAATCCCTTTAAGACAGCGAGAGGAAGATGACAGACAACGCGGGAAGAAATGGGGAGATTGAAAGGAGTTGCACATAAAGGGGGAGACGGAGGCACAGCATCGACCCTTTCCAGAGTCAGACAAGGCTCCGCTGCCCCCTGCTTTGACCATTTGGCAGCACGAGGACAGCAGGTCGTGTTTGAACACGGGTGGTGCGACGCGCGACAGGGCCCGCCGGAGCGGGCCGGCAGCCGCCCAGCTGCGCCTCCCAGAACATCGGCACGCGGCTCACGACTCGGTGGGTGGGGCAGCGCGCGACAGGGCCCGCCGGAGCGGGCCGGCAGCCGCCCAGCTGCGCCTCCCAGAACATCGGCGCGCGGCTCAGGACTCGGTGGGTGGGGCAGCGCGCGACGGGGCCCGCCGGAGCGAGCCGGCAGCCGCCCAGCTGCGCCTCCCAGAACATCGGCACGCGGCGCAGGACTCGGTGGGTGGGGCAGCGCGTGACGTCTCGCAGCCTGGCGCCCTCTACGCCCTGAGGTCGGGCCGCACGAGGGCAACGACTCTGCGGATTTTGCCCCTGCTTCCGCTGCGTCTGCCGGGAGCCGCCGCTGGAGCCGCATCAGCGGGACGACCTGGCCGCGCCGCCATCAGGCGTCGCCTCGGTGCCGGGCTGACGCGACTGATGCCGCGCGCCAGGCACGGGCCGGTGGCTCACGCGTCGCCGAACAAGTCGGCCAGCGATACGACGTCGGGCTGGGGCAGCCGTGGTGGCCGCGTCTCTCGACCCATCGGCACCAGGTCACGGATCGAGGCCTTCTTCTGGAACAGCTGGCTCATGCTGCGACTGACCAGCTGACGGACAGAGGCAGCGGAGAGCAGCCGGTCATGTCCCGCCACAGCTGGCACGGCGCACGAGGCGGCACCGTCAACAGCGACACAAGCAAGGCAGCGTGACGCCGAACGCCGTGGCACCACGCATTGGGGAGGGGGAGGGAAGACAAGGTGCGTCGATCACAACGGTCATTTCGTGACACCACCACTAAGAATTACACGCGAAACAGTTCGCCCCCGCAGCATGAACGCAACAACAAACAGACGCTTTAGAACAGCAGCTCATGACTACCACAGCGCCGTTGTAAAAATAAGCCGGGCGCCAAAATCGTCCCCAAAAGTCGCTACAAAAATTGCTCAACTTGTCGACAGTCTTACCCGTACATCCGCCCATACTTACCGGCTTGATTAGCCTCCTGATCTCTTCTTTCTTGAGTTTATCACTTTTTGAGATCTTCGGGATATTGAAAACCTTTTCTTGTAGCTTTTCAACCATTTCGGCGTTCACCTCTGGTATTTGACTAATCACCTGAAAACACGATACGCCGTTCACCGTCAAGCATCCACCCATCCGTCGTGGAGCGCGACACTAGCAGAAGGCCACCATCTAACCCACAACAAACAGTGCCACATCGTAACGCCTCCTTCGCTAGCAGTGGGCTCCAAACAAGAGCGGTCGCCGCTGCAGGCGTCCCGCCGGCGCACCAGAGCCGGGCGAGGCAGAGCCGCCGCTCCCATGCGAGAGTGGCCGCCGTGGACCGCCGTCGCCGGGCCGAGAGACACCGCTGGCGAGCAATCCATCCCGCTTCCATCTGGCCGCCCGGGAAAGGCAGAGGCCCGATTTGGCTACTCGGGCAACCTCCAAGCCGACGATTGCGGAGGCGGGGCCACATGGTTTGGGCCGCCGCACTTGTGGTATTGCTTGTATATTATGAAAATGTAGTATCGCGACATACACCGTTATGCATGCGTGTATGTATGTATGTATGTATGCGTGTATGAATGAATGAATGAATGAATGTATGTATGTATGTATGTATGTGTGTATGTATGTGTGTATATATGCATTATGTATGTATATATGTATGTACGTGTGTATGTATGTATCATGTATGTATGTACGCATGTATGCATTATGTATGTATGGATGGATGGATGGATGGATGGATGGATAAAGGTACGCATGCGTTTATGTATGTACGTATGTATGTATATATGTATGCATGTATGCATTATGTATGTATGTATGGACGGATGGATGGATGGATAAATGTACGCATGCTTTATGTACGCATGTATGGTACGCTTCTGGTCGTGAGAAGACGCTGATTACCCACATTATTCGGACCGTGTCGTTGATCTCCGACACGCCTAGCACTAGTCATCACGGATCGCTTCCATTGCCTTCCATCCGCATGATCTCGGTACCGTTATGCTTTGATATAGATACTCTTCATCAACACAAATGTTTGCTTCTTTTTTTTGCTTACGAGTCCCATAATGGTACGTACTTCATAAGAACTCTTCTAATGTTCAGGAACGCGTCGTCGCGTGCGTTTGGACGACCGTGCGGCGGGTTGCTCGGCATCAACTGCATGCGCTGTCACAAGGAGACAGGCTCCTCTTGCCCAGCCCGGCTGCACTTGGAGAAGCGGAGAGGTACGGCTCGGTGCCGCGCGGCAAACCGGTCCGGTATGAGGTGGGCTCATAAGGAGGTGTGTAACGGGGCCTGGGACGCTCGCGCCGGGGACACAACAGTGACCCCGCACGACGTGGCCATGTCCGACGAGCCTGACCTGCAGCCTCCGGCGCCGTGAGAGGGCCGGCCCCGCGGGTCCAATTCCTGTTCCCCCGAGGACCTCCCCCACCACTAGTCAAGCCATCCGATCCTCCTCGCATCCTCGCTGCATGTCTCATCGAGATGAGCGTGTCCCCGTGTGTCCGAATGTCTCCATAGTCCAGACGTCAAGTTGGCTACTTGGTTGCACACTTCTCCCAGACCCTGCTAAAATCATGACTGAAATGCGTATGGAAAACCCGTCTATGGAGAGGGGGATAAGACGTCAATAAGGCACGACACTTGGTCTCCAAGATCGGCGGACGGCGCCAGCGATGCGGTGTGCCCCGCACCCCGCCACCGTCTCGGCGTACCTGGTCCACGGCGGAGGCGTGGCCCGGCCGCAGGCACACGTAGGCGGCCGTGATGGCCGACACCAGGCTGGTGAGGTTGGCCTGGTGGTGTCCCTGCACCTCCAGACCGTGCAGCAGCCAGTACAGCAGCTGGCTGAAACCCACACCCGCGGCGTCGTCAGCACGGCTCCCTGACGGTGCGCAGAATGGTCGGCCGGCTGAGACCGCGGAGCGGCGGGTCTGGCACGTGACGCCGTGACGCCTCCACGATCGGCGTCGGCTGACAAGATCCGCACGAGTGCACCTCACAGCCGATCCGGGCTAGACAAGCCGCCGTCGGTCACACACCTCCCGCCGACTCAATGGGGCTTAGCAGCACAGGTTGGTGGCTACCACCCAGCACCGCCCGTGCCGCCCGTAGACACTGGGCCGCACCACCTCCGCCGCCTGCAGGCGCCGCCGGGCTCCACCTGCACGGTCTAAGCCAATGACTAACCTGGCGGCGCCATCGTCCACCAGCTGGGCCTCCACCAGAGCGCGCACCACCAGCGGCGACAGCTCCGTGGCCTTCAGCGCGGCCACCGAGTCGCCCCAGCCGATCGCCCTGGTCGACAGACCAGCCAGTCTGGTCAGACACCACCGAGCGGCCCGGCGCAGCGCCGCAGGAACGGGCCGGCGCCGGGTACCGGCTCAGTCTAACGCTACGGCATTTGGGTCCTGTGATTTACACCTGTTATGACATTCAGATAGCTCGTCACGGCGAAAAGTGCACGGCATGACTGGCAAAATATGAATGCCCAGTCCGTTAGTAATATTGTATGGAAGGTAAAGTAGGTAATGATACATAAATATGAGCCTGTCAGGAGCGGCACGAAGCCCTCATTCCACTGGCTTTGTTCTCATGAAGCGCCAAAAATCAGCCAAATAGCAAAATAAACGCTTACTCAACTCCACATGATCATGATGACATATTGTGAATACAACACTGGACACAAACACGGAAGACCAAGGTTCCTAATGTCAGCTGCAGAACGCTCGACTCAAACCACGACGATGACGCGGGCAGCTGTTCATCCTTTTCGCTCCGTGTTCGCGACAGCCGGGCCGGGGCTCACCTGAAGACGATGGTGAGCAGCGGCCGGGCCAGACTGGGGTTGCGCAGTGCCGCCAGACCCTGCGCCGTCACAGCCGTCTTGGTTGGCTGCTGCACCGCCGGCAGCACGCCCTCCTCCATGGCGTCGTCTTCGACGGCCGACGCGACGCCGGCGGCCGAGGTCAGCAGGACGGCAGCCAGCTGCACCGTCTCCCGAGTCAGCTGGCGCAGCAGCTGCTCAGCCACCACCGCCTGACGGGACAGACATCACACAGGGTCAGCTGGCGCAGCAGCTGCTCAGCCACCACCGCCTGACGGGGCAGACATCACACAGGGTCAGCTGGCGCAGCAGCTGCTCAGCCGCCACCGCCTGACGGGGCAGACATCACACGGGGTCAGCTGGCGCAGCAGCTGCTCAGCCGCCACTGCCTGACGGGGCAGACATTATACGTAGTCAGCTGACGGGACAGCTGCTCAGCCACCACCGCCTGACGGGGCAGACATCACACGGGGTCAGCTGACGGGCTAGCCCTCTTCTTCGCCTCATGTATCAGTTTCCAGGATTTCGTCTGACATTTCGATACGACCACACGCTTTAGTAGTGTACACCAGATGTGTCATGATGTTTTAGCCAGATACGAGCGTCTGTATCATAATCAAGAGTGATGGGGGTTCACATCCATTGCCACTGTTGTCAATGGATTGCGCATGCGTGTTGCCGCAGTTGTGCACCAAGGCTATCGTAGACGCATGCTGTTATCGATCCGTTTGTCACCTGCGGTTCACCGTGTCATGACATATTTCAAACACACATCGACTGGGGCACTCGGTAACCTGTAAGGCCAATGCGCACACACGTTGTCCCTCAGAGCTTTTCATTTGTAATATCGTATCACAACTGTATTCGACAAGTATGATGCGCGGCCGGTGGCAGCGGCCGCAGTGAAAGTCAGGTGGCGTCAGAGGACAGGATGGATCGTGCCGAGCATTGCAGCACGTGAAACTTTCGCCGCCAACTATACCCCTAACCCGGAATTTGACAATCGGATGATAAGAGCAGGGCTCACGCATGTACTTCTTAGCGTGAGCTTTGATCCCAGAAATCCTTTTATTCAAAAAGCTCTGGACTAAAGCTTTGAGAAGTCCCAAGCGGCCAATTGGCGACATCTAGCGGGTGGCCACACACCTGTATCACTGCCAGCGGCTGACGTGGCGCGCCGCTCACCTCTGTGTCTTCGTCGTCGTTCCACTCGCTGTCCGCCTACGTGGTACGCCACTCACCTCTGTGTCCTCGTCGCCGTCCCGTTCGCTGTCCATCTGCGTGGTACGCCACTCACATCTGTGTCCTCGTCGCCGTCCCGTTCGCTGTCCATCTGCGTGGTGCGCCGCTCACCTCTGTGTCCTCGTCGCCGTCCCGTTCGCTGTACGCCTGCGCGGTACGCCACTGACCTCTGTGTCTTCGTCGTCGTCCCGCTCACTCTCCGTCTGCGCGTCAAGCTCGAGCCGCTGCAGCTGTGTCCAGCGCACGTCCAGCCGCTCTGCCAGGTGGGTCATCAGCGAGGCCAGCAGCGGGTGCAGCAGCGGGCCGTGCAGCTCCGCCGGACACCGGCCGATCAGGGTCCGCCAGAGGCCGCGCAGCTGCCAGAACAGGGGCGCAGGGTCAGCAGGGGACACCGGCCGATCAGGGGCATTCAAAGGTCGCGCAGCTGCCTGAACAGGGGCGCAAGGTCAGCAGGGGACACCGCCGGATCAGGGACAGTCAAAGGCCGTGCGGCCGCCCGGACAGGGGCGCAGGGCCAGCAGGGAACACCACCGGATCAGGGTCCGCCAGAGGTCGCACAGCTGCCCGAGCAGGGGGGGGGGGGGGGGGGGGGGCATGATCGGTAGGGAACACCGCTGGATCACGAGCGGCCAAAGATGGGAGATCTACCGGGTAGCAAGGAAGGGTCAGCAGCGATGAGGGACAAGATCATGCTTGAAAACCAGGTACAAAGCAAAAGCCCTATCTAAATAAGATCGACAGCCCCGAACACGATGCATGGTATAGTTGGATTGGAATGGCAACTCTGAAACACATCTTCTAAACTGAGGTTCAACAAAAACACAGCGCACTAACCATCAGCATAGCTCAATAAACCCATGTGCTCATCACCGAGATGAAAACCTGCATTCGCATAGAGATATTGCAGGCATCTACAGCCCAAAAACACATATTGGTCAGGTTCAGGCTTCTCCCAAAGACACGCACGAATAGAAGCTTGTTAACTTTTCTGCATCATCGCGTGCCATGCACATCGAAAGCAGTTCTTGTAGGTTCCGCTTTCTCGTTTAGAAAAAGTGATGTAGCTAGGTGGTTTGGGATTAAATGTTAATGTTCGGACCCGTTTGAAGGGAATGCCCCACCTTTGGGGCATACTTCCAAAACATATTCTACTAAAACCTCGGGACTATTCGCGTCTAATGATAGCACTGGGTGGTGCTACTACGGCACGGTAACACAACATAGGGCTATCAATGTTAATCATTTTCTAGTCCAAGTTACGCTAACAACGCTTTGTAACAGAACTGCACTTCTTCCCTGCAGTCACCGGCCACAGTTGTCATGACAAACACCGTGGCACCTCTACTGGTGCAAATAAACGAACGTTTGTGACTGGCCTAGCGGGCGGCATGGGCCTGTCACCGAGAAGCGTATTGGTTGAAGTGTGAAGCAGTGCGTCACCATGTACCACGTGATACTCCCGTTCCCTAGGCCAAACGCGTTTCGAAAAGAGTCGCCTTGTTTAAAAACCACAGGACAGAAATCAAAGCCATCGTACAAGGTTTCGTTGAAAGCGAGGGATAATAGCGTCTAGTTCGTTTTGTTTTGTTTTGTTTTCCTGTTTTTTTTTGGGGGGGGGGGGGTTAAACAGAGTGCTTCAAGCTTTTGCAGCATTTATCACGCAAACATTTTGACAAATTACTGGTTGCAGAGGGTACCTGTGACAGCCTGCAAAACAGCAACCCGGAAGAGGCCTACCATTTTTACACTAACAATAAAACGTCCCATTAGCGTAAAACACGTAACAAAAAATCCTAAGAGTAAATATCTTTGAAACACTACTCATGGCTCTTAGTGGACTCAACCGAACAACCGATCTTACGCTGCAAGCATCACATCTCTGCCTGCTGGCCCAGCCCATTAACGACGCTCCTGCCCGTCACATCAACCTGTCTAACCCTTCCCATCCCCGGTCCTAGTGGCAAACTGGTCGACGCGGTCGCCGGCTCTCACCTGCACGCGCGTCCGATGGTCGGAGAGGTATTCAAGACTGTGCAGCACGCTGCCCGTGATAAAGTCGCCGGCTCTCACCTACACGCGCATCCGATGGTCGGAGAGGTGTTCAAGACTGTGCAGCACGCTGCCCGTGATAAAGTCGCCGGCTCTCACCTGCACGCGCATCCGATGGTCGGAGAGGTGTTCACGGTTGTGCAGCACACTGCCCGTGATAAAGTCGCCGGCTCTTACCTGCACGCGCATCCGATGGTTGGAAAGGTGTTCGAGGTTGTGCAGCACGCTGCCCGTGATAAAGTCGCCGGCTCTCACCTGCACGCGCATCCGATGGTCGGAGAGGTGTTCAAGGTTGTGCAGCACACTGCCCGTGATAAAGTCGCCGGCTCTTACCCTGCACGCGCATCCGATGGTCGGAAAGGTGTTCGAGGTTGTGCAGCACGCTGCCCGTGATAAAGTCGCCGAGCCGTGGCAACGTGAACAGCTGGTGGCCGAGCGCCGTGCACGCGTTCACCAGCAGCGTGTGTGCCATCTCGTACAGGTGGCTGATGAAGCCCTGCATGCGCTCAAGCGGCGGCCGGCGTCCGTCGCTGGCGTCCGCCGTCCGCTCGGATGACGCCGACAGCAGCGCCAGCCGCCGCGCCGCCGACAGCTCCAGCGCCGCCGCCAGCACCGGGTGCAGGCGCGCGCGCAGCTCGGGCGCGTCCAGCGCCGCCAGCGAGCGCAGCAGCTGGAAGACGAGCGGCAGCTGCGGGCAGCACGTGCGGCGCGCACGGGCTTGCGCGGCGCGCCCGACGCCGGGTCCAGGAAGCCGCCGTCGCGCAGCCGGTCGGGGTCGTCGGGCAGCCGGCAGCGCAGCAGCAGACCGCTCAGCAGGTTGACCAGCAGCGTCAGCTGGGAGCGCGTGCGGTGCCGCTCGGCGTCGGCGGCCGTCTCGGCGACCGGCGGCGACGGCGGCGGCGGCGCGTCCAGTCCCACCGCCGACATCAGGGCGCCCGGGCTCCGACACAGAGCCGACAGCTGCTTCCACGTATCCAGGTGCGGCGCCAGCAGCCGGCCCACCAGCTCCTGCTGCTGGTGGTAGTCACCGAGCCGGGCGTGTACCAACACCAGCAGCTCGGCCAGCGTGACGCCTTCCTGCGCACCCAGACGACCCGGCTCGGCCAGCAGCGCCTGCACACGAGCCACCAGCGCCGGCCACTGGGCGGCCAGCGCCGCCGGCTGCCGCGTAGCCAGCGACAGGAGCGCGTTGCAGCCGTGCCGGCGCAGCTCGCGCGAGGCGGCGTCGGCCTGCTGCGGCGCCGGCGGCTCGAACGTCACCGCCTCGAACAGGCGCTCCAGCAGCGGCGCGGTCAGCTGCGGCCGGCGCGGCAGCAGCACGGACAGCGTCGAGAGCAGCGAGACGAGCAGCGACAGCACCTCCGGGTCGGCGGTGCGCCGCTGCAGGCAGACGACGAACAGCGCCGCCGCACGCTCCGTCTGCTCGGGTAACAACGCGGCGCGCGGCGCCACTTGCTCCGTCAGGTAGACGGCCGTCTCCCAGTCGCGCAGCGGCGCCGACTGTCGGTCCAGTCGGCCGCCGGCGTCCGTCGGCAGCGGCGCCGCCACCAGCGCCGTCACCGCCTCTGCCAGCTGCTGGAACGTCTGGTCCGGTGCGGCGGCGGCCAGCGCGCGCAGCGCCTCGGTCAGCTCGGGTCGCGCGCGGCCGGCCGACGCCGCCTCGTCGTCGGCGCCCAGCTCGAGCTGGCGCCAGGCGTCGGCGGCCGGGTCAACCGGTCGACGCGCGCGCCGCTGCAGGCACTGGAACAGCGCCGGTGCTGCAGCCAACAGCGGCGCCGACCGGCCGGCCTGCGCGTGACGCAGCAGCTGCGTCCAGGCGGGCAGCAGCAGGTCGGCCACGGCCCAGCTGGGGTGCCGGCTGAGCCGCAGCAGCAGCTGCAGGAAGGCGGCCAGCCCGTCCGGCTCGCCGGCCGTCAGCTCAGGCCGACCCCAGCAGTAGGTCAGCTGCGACACGGCGCCCGCCAGTGCCTGGGCCAGCAGGCGCAGCGTGGCCAGCAGGGCGTCAGACGGCGGCTGGTCGCAGCACCAGGCCACCTGCTCGTCCAGCAGGGCCACCACGCTGGGCCGGAACACAACCAGCAGCGGCTCGCGGTCCTCGGCCCGACCGTGCCGGCTGAACAGCTGGAACGGGCGCGGGCGGCGCGTCAGAGCAGGCCACGCGGGCCGACCGCGCGGCGCGGCAGCGGCGCACTGTGGACGAGCTAAATATCGGCAGCGAGGACCTAAATATCGAGGAGCTAAATACCGCCCCGCTCACTTGCACGCACCTGCTAGGGTGTACACATGTCTTTTGGGCGAAGTATAACATTTGTTCGAAGAGCAGATATGTAATCAACGCACACCCACCAGGAATGGTACCAAAATAATTAAAATCGCCAGACGTATACCAAATACTAACGGCATACACACAACAAAAACCAACCCGAACACACTTTCTCATTACAATCGCCACCCCTGAGGGCGCATCAGCAGTCCGGGCCACTCCTGCAGCGCTGAGACCGCCGAAGGGTGACCACCCTCCAGTGTTGACGTCCCCTCTTCCCTGCCAGGGTCCACACCAAAGATGAGCTGGCGTTGGGCGCCAGCTCGACCCTCCACATCCACAGACAATGGACACTCACCACAGTCAGGCACTCGGCAGCCGTCTGCTGCAGGCGGGGCCGGCGCAGCAGCGGCAGCAGCAGCAGCAGCAGCGCGTCGCCCATCACGTGCTGCACGGCCGCCCACTCCAGGTAGCAGGCGAGCGTGGCGAGGCAGACCTGGGCCAGCGCCTCGTCCCCGCCGTCGGGTGCGGCCGCGCACGAGGTCAGCGTGCCCGTCAGCAGGCCGAACACGGCGTCCATGCTGGCCACCAGGCCGCGGTAGATGTCGCGCCGCCGCGTCGGCGCCTCCAGCGTCTGCGGCGGGCCGCAGCGGGGCGGTCATGCGTTGCCTGGCGGGAGCACGGCTCTGACATCTCGGGAGATAGCCTGCTTGTCGCCTCCACGACCGACCCGATCGCTGGACGGCTGGGGTCTGCCGAGACACGGCCCAACAAGTCGGCGTGGTCACACGAGCGCCACGTGCCAGGCCCCGCCTCCTCACGAGCTGGACAGACGGTCCGAGCACGCCCGCGCCGTCGCCGCCGGTCGGCCGGTGTGCCACCTCACCTGGAACGTGGCCACGTCCTCGGCCAGGCGCAGGAAGACGCGCAGCACGAGCTCGGTGTGGAGCGGGCCGCGCGCCGCCAGCCGGCTCATGTCCGGCACAAACTCGGCGTACTGCTGCGGCCACTCGCGCTTCACCATCTCCACCAGCGGCCGGCAGAGGGCGTCGCGCATGTGGGCCGGCGCCGCGGCCGTCACAGACGTCATCAGCTGCAGGCAGTAGTCCTGCCGATGGAGCCGGCACGTCAGCCGACAGCAGGATCCCACAGACGCCGGCGAACGCCACGCTGGTGTGAATGACGTCACTGCGATGCAGAGCACGGGCGGACTAGTGCCGTAAACACCTGGCCACCCTGTTTGGTGGGAGGCGAGCGAGTTCAGAACGGGCTTTAACGCGAGGATGTAGGATATCAGAACTTATAGAAGCGCGCCCGTGTGCCCATTAGTGCCCAACAAAAGCACCTCATGACACCGTCGGTGACTGGCCAGGTTCGCCCACTGTGAGCGTTAACCACGCATACAGGCTCACTAACTTATCGTTTAAAAGTTTCAGTAGTATTTATCCGGAAAGTCGGCAACTTAAAGTGAGTTATCTTTCCTGCTAAACATCTGGTACTTGTATACCATGTGTGACTGCACTTCTTTTTAATACGCATGCCTCTTAAAAACAAATTCCATCGCATGAATTGCCTGTTCAGGGGCCGTGGGAATCACAATTACCGCTAGATGTAGATTCTGACATTAAAATCGACCCCGGCACCAAACAGCACGGCCATAATTATGGGAAAGCTATCGCCCGTCTGTTGCCCGCATCATACTGAACAGTGCAGTGTGCCACGCAGTCAGGACCCGCCAAACACGTCAGTGTTTCCCCTCGCGGCCGTGAATGTCACCGCCTTAGCTGGGATTGGGTGTCAATCGAACGCACGCGGTCATGCGTCTCGAGTCTGGTGCGTGCACCGAAGTTGCGTCTGAACGAGTTGGCTGGACGTCTGCCGCCTGTTGCAAGATGCACGATATGATCTATAAGCATCATCTTTCAACGACCTACGTTAGGCACCCGCCTGATCTTACGCTACGTTTTGAAATCTTAAGCCAGCACGCATGGCCGGGTTATGAAAAACCACGGTCCCCCGATACCAAACCTTATCTTTAAAAAAAACCTGAGATGAGCATCTGGCCCTGGGTCATCCTCGAGCCTTGCTCCAAAGTTACCTTCCTGCCTTACACCTTCGCCTTCCTGGCCTTACTGTAAATATGCGAACACATAAAGAACGTAACCGTCCACGCCAGCCGTGCCAATTCAGTTATGTTGTCAAGTTGTAAGCGTAGTTGTTCATCTGACTCGAGGATGGCCCAGTGCCGAAAGCTTTTCTGTGCTATTTTAGACAACCTTTCGCATCTTGATGCCGTTATTCACATAGATAAGACAGTAGTAATAGCCTCACACCTCGAAGAAAAACCAGGAGAATGGAGATATACATGGGTTGATATCTCGGCAACATGCCTTCATCGAAGCAATAGCAGAAATGAATCAAGATAAATGATGGGTTTCGAAATAGCACTATGTTACTTAAGCCAGCAAAAAACAATGCATGGTTTCCAGATTGCGTCCGAGGTCCAATCAGACCCGACTGGCTCATAGGTCTTTGTGTGCGGTTGGGGGCCTCACGACGCACTCAGCTGCTGAGGCCATATGGCGTCGCCTGCCTGTCACCCTGGCGGGAAGAGCGGGCAACGCGGGTAATCGAATCCCGTACCTCTGGTTTCACAGACGCGCAATGGTCAATGCAGACGCGTTACACACCTCATCATTGGCAATCCAATAGGTCAATCCATATGCAATAGTTTACTCACCTTGAGAAATACTTTGTCCTGAACAGGAAGTTCATTCCAGTGGAAAGTTATAGTGGTTTCCAGGAGCTGCAGCCCCATATACCGCACAAGATCGGGTCTCTCCGAGGCGGACAGATACACGCCGCACTGTAGCGCCAATGGCGACTCCTTTAGGCGCTCGCATAACTCGTAGATCCGCTGTCTCTCGGCAGGTGGCAGTGTTGGCGACATCAGGGCTTGCATGGCTGCGGCAGCCTCCAAAGAGGCAGCCTCAACCTCGGGCGAGAAATTCATCTGAAACCAACCACAAATTAATCAGCTAAGGATACCATACATTATTCCTGCTTCACCATGGCTGAAATGCTGCCTTCAAATATTCAGAAAACCAAAAGCTGGCCTCTAAATTTTGCTGCTCAGCATATTCATGACTGAGCAAACATAGTGTTGGTTTTGTTGTTAGAGCATGAGACAGTAGACCCTTATCATGAGTTTTATGTGTATCTGGGGCAGTATTTTGCTCTTTGTGCTCTGCGGACTATGACCAGCAGCCCTAGGCAGAGAATAAGAAAAAAGAGAAGGGGCAAGGCACAAGGGCATGCCAGTCAGGGGCTGGTCTTCACTCTTGCTAGCTTTACCAGTGCCACCATCCTATGCAATGCACTATGGGGCGGGCCATAACACTCATTCCACACAAGATGTGCTACAGTGAAAACAGAAGAAACAGTGCCATAGCCCTCATAGGTGGTCAAAAAACTGCTTTGTTCTCCTTTAGCTTAACACAGTTATCCATGTGTGTGTGTGGAGCAAAGCTCATACAAGTCAAAACATACCAGCTTGTTTCTTAAATGTGACATGTTATTTCAGGGCATTCAGTGACCTCCAATGACATTGAACTTAGATGATCGTGTACATATGGCCTTCACGCAATGAGATGTCAGTACGAGGAGGCATGGAATGTCACCATATGGGGGGAGCCCCTTTGGAAGGAGCACAAACATTAACTTGGGCGGCTTCAAGGGCATTACCTCTCTCACAATGGCACTGAGAGCCAAGCTTTCTGGCTTTCTGGCTTTCTACCATTCCCTCTCATGTCTTACGCATTTTTTTCCCAACATGAACATGTCCTTAACACACTCCATACAAGTTGGAGTAGTAGGGTTACAAGAATGTTATTCTCCTTTTCCGAATAAAACACAAATAATGTTATGGTGATGTCTTGTAGAGCATTCATAACCAACACCAAGTAAGAAAAATAATCCTGGAAATAAGCCATGCTACTGAACCATTTGAAAGTGATAATCCTATACATAAAAACAGCAATTAGTTTTAATACTGATGCTGCATGACTTATGCCACAATTATTATTATGGTAAAATGTCACAATTAATCTTATCAGATGCCGCCAGATGGCATCTGAAATTTCCAGGTTTTTTGATGTTCTGAACATTCAGGCACTTGAATCTCCAGCCTGAAAACTCAGTCAAGACTGATTTCATGAAATATGACAAGAGAATTAATCAGCAAGAAATTATGAAATATGAAACATGCCCAAAATATGCCAACAACTTCTCAGATTCCGAATACTTTCTGCTCACAGCTGGGTTCAAGGCCAATCTGCAAAAACAACTTGACCTGCTGTGCTGGATGCCTAAGTGACAGTGGTGTGCTGAACCTCTCACTTCCGTGCACCGGTGGCCAGGCTCAGTTGCGCCAAATTTTCACTGTTTCTAACAGACATATTATCATCTTTTATATAATTTTCACACTGATATCTTATAGATATCATCATATCTAGATATCATCAATATCTAGCAAACATGAAGTTCTCCATTTGTCCCAACTATGGTAGGGTAAGCAGCATAGATGATGGGAATTATGCAAATCTGAACACTTTCATACAGTCACGACAAATTCTATTGTTCCAGAGCCACTCCACATTGCAGGGTGTGAGCCCATGACCACTCTGACCACAATGATTAATGATCAGATATAATGATTATATCAACTCCAAGCAATTACTTAATATTTTGTTTTGTTGCAAGCGCGATTTCAGACACCGCCGCAACGTACGGAAGCTTTGTGCCAAATTGTCTGATGATACAAATGTTGTTGTGTTTAGTGTTCAACGTGCAGCAGTAGGTCAAACAGTAGCACATTTCAAACGCATTAATCAGTGACACCCCTCACCACTGCCCACCCTCGACGGGTCGCCGGTCACTCTCAACACGATGCTGCCATCGCCTCCGAAACGGCTAGTGGTGGTGAGCGCTGGATTTGAGCTTCGCAGTCCAGAAATGTGTTTCCAATTAGCGCTACCAAATTACTTATCCATCTAACCTTACCCTATCGTGATAGGAAATTTAGCAAGCGCTCAGGAGGGGGTCAATTTGACCCCAAGGAGGTTTCTCTGGAATGGTTTGCGAACGACGGGGCGTGGCCACGCCAAATGTTGCATAGCTGTAAACGATTGAATAGCAGACCGTTTGGTGACCTGCATCAGGCCACAATCAGGTTTTGCATTCAGCGAAGTGAATTTCTAGGGAATCGTCCAACCTGATGCAACAACGGAGCGTTGGACGGGGCGATATATCTTTGAGATGCTTTTTTAAGCAGCACAACAATCGATGACCAAATTTCATTGACCTAGGGTCAGGTATAAAGGTCAGACCAAGGTCAACATCCGCCTGTTTTGTTGCTCTATGGCTTGCTGTAACGAGCAGTTTCTGGCGCTTATTTCGAATTCATTAATACATGGAACAGCTTTATACATCTTCCATGGACTTCTTTAAGGTCATAATAGGTCACTGACCTGAAATGACCCAGATCGACGTTATGCTCTAGAAAAATACTGCTTGGTGTAATGTTTGTCGTTTATTCAAATGCAAATTCAGAGAACCTTCGAATCGTCACTGTGTCCTTCAAAAGGTCAAATAAGGTAACTGTCATTACCTTTTCTTTAGAACAGGTGTCTAGGTTATGGGTGCACTTTGGACGCCAGTCTGGAGCTTGACCTTGTTTGACCTTATTTGGCTCGAAGGTCATGGACTAGTAACCTTAATCTTATACACAGGTGAGTTTAACTACAGGCCAAAATACCCTGCAAATATTGCGTCTCTAGCTCTCTTTGTTCCTGAGATCTAAGGGTGGGCCAAACTGAACCCCACCCGAGCAAAGGGCATCCAATCGGCCACCCGGGCGCATGTTAAAACGCTTATTGGCCTTTCGATGCCGGTCTCTTCATCGGTTCAAGTGACCGGACAGTCCAAAATAAGGGATGTGATCGGTGCATGCGTCAAACATGATGTCAACCTAGTGTGGATCGAGGCAAAGTTTAAGCTGTTAACAGTGATGGTTTCCATAGTTCATTTGCTTTCAAATGATGTGTATTGTGTTGCTTTGGTCAGATCTAAGCAGACACTGCATAGATAACAACCATTTTTTAGTCCAGCTTACGAAATTATTTCGGAAATTCTGAGACTTCCACCTCGTGAACCATGTGAACCAGGAACCAAAAAATCGCTTTGTAATTATTTGTGATATAGATGAGTGGGTTTCCAAATGTTCGTCGACGCTGGAGGGGTCATGACGTTTTTAATAAGGCCTTTTCTAGTTTTAACATTTTTGTTCACAAAAGAATGTACAGCACTTGCATAAATGATCATATAAGGCTTCTTCGTAACTCAGAATAGTGGCGTGCTACCGAGGTCAATAGTGAGGTCTTGGAATGGGCCTGTAGGTATCTTTGGTGCTTATGACATGCAACACAATCGCTACGGATGTCATATAAAGTTCGTCGCTCAAGAAATACGGTGGAGATATTTCAAAGTGTGTGGGAGATCGAAGTGTGTATCGGTCAGTGACTTGATCTTAGGTACCATTCAAGGGTGAAACTTTATGCCTAGTCAATGTGGGTGTCCTTTTGAAGGCGCATCTAAGAAGAAAAAATTGAGTGCATGATAAAGCAGGCCAACAACAACTGATGAAGAAGAGATGCAAAAACCGCCTTCGGTATCATAGCACTGGGGTCAGTAATATATCTGGCGCCGGAAAGGGCTAATACCGGCTTCACACTTGCATGTGATTAGGATACAGATGCACCGGGACCCGGGCGAGAAATTACTCGTTCCGCAGTCAGCCGGGTCAGTTGCCGGGAATGTATATTGCTGAAAACGTATCTATCTCTACTTTGAAAGGCAGAAAACGCGTCGGCAGCCAGATCTGTGCAGAAAGTGGACGAGTAAGCCATGCTGGTCGCCGTAGTGGTGCTGGCTGGCAGTGGTGCTAGCTGGTAGTGGTGCTGTTTGTTTGCATTACCAGAAGCGAAAGCTCAAGCACTTGCAATTAGCGGCTCCGCTCGTACTAACTGGGGACGAAAAGTGTTTGCGATATGAAAAGACGGGGCTGCATGACGCAAGCCTGCAGGGGTTCACTCTGAGGTGCAAATGAGCGAGCGAAAGCTGCATTAGCTGGACAGTGTTAAAGCTGAAGTTGCTCTCAGGTAGACGAGTTCGTGTTCTCGCTCATTGACGTGATAGCACAGCTGACGCGTCATCATATTGTGGGGGGGGGGGGGGGTGTGGCTCCCTTTTCGGATGGGGGAGCACGGGCTTCAGTCCCCCAGCTTGAACTCCAGCGCCAGCCCCCCCCCCCCTCCGTTTTTGAGAGAAAAGTGGGCCGAATCCGGAGAAAACCCTGTTTTGAGCAAATTTTGGGGCTAGGCTTCATGATTATTCACGGTTCCGCCCACTAACTCATGTTCCGAAATTACACCCCAGTTTTGTAGCCAGAGACCATTCCTAGTTGAACACACAGCTTCGTGGGCGTGTACCAACCACGGGGCAGTGCTGATCCTGAATTTTTCGGAGCATTTTATGCGGTGCCGAAAACACCCATATGGCTTCCCTGGTGCGACGTTGTACTTTGCGCAAGGAATTGCCACCAGAGCTTTTGTGAGGTATCCAACTTCCTGTTACGCAACGCAGCGGTAGTGACAGCAATTCAAACTGCTGGTTTGTTTTGTAGCGCATGTACACGCACAAAACGTGCATCCAGGTTCGCAGGAACTGCACGCACTACTTTTTACCCGGAGGCTCAGTCAAGTATAAAAACAGGTAAAACTCAGCAAATATCGTTGATCATGAGGTAGTTTTTGGGTTCGTATGTGACTGACATTTGCATCTGCCTGGCATGGCAAAAATACATGCGACGGCATCCGTGCGTTCGTCAAGCGAGCAGTAAAACGTGCTCGTTTGCATTGGTCCATGGAAAACCGAAAACTAAGCTCTCGCACCTTCTTGGAGTTCTGTGACAAAAACTTTGAAGAGAAGATAAGGTGCTTTTTTGTTGTCTGCCCAAAACTGCTACTGGAAGAGGCACAGGAATTGGACAAACGTCTGCGCAGTGTTCTGATCGTATACGGGCTTTGAACGTGCCAACACTTAGCAACGGTAAAGGAATGTAAGATACTAGCACATTAGTTGTTATCATCTGGATTGGTCACCATGTCCTCGGTGTGTGCAACTGCCATCAATGCTGTGTGTGTTTAAGCTGCAGGTGCTTGCGAGATACCACGTGAAATTGTACGTCCAATACACGCAAAAATTCCTGCGTTTGCTCGCTATGCGTAATCCATTGCAGGATGTGCTGTATCGTGTGCAGTATCTTATAGCTACTATAAGATGCTGTCCACACAGATGTTAGAAATTAAAACATTGACACACTTCGTAAAGCTGACAGAAGAATGTACCACTGCTATTAGCGACCCTTATTCGTCCCCTACCGCCCACTACCCATTCCTGATCATTTTTACCCACCTGTTATCCGCCCGTTTTCACTTTTCCAACATTTTCATGATATGTTATGGATAGTTTTTATGAATATTTATATCAAAATTTACCATGTTGCATTAGCAACTGCAAAGGCAGTGTGAAGGAAGCTGAATGTGACTTAAAAGAAAAGTAATAGTATTTTGTGTTATTTCGAGAAGTGTCTGCCCAGCATGCCATAAACGTCTTATCCCCATCGCCACACAAAACGGGGACTTCCCTGAACGCTGTACCCTGCCTAACCTATTATTCAATCCATTCCGGTACCCGTTGGCTCACCCAACCCCCCAAGTTCTTAATTTGTCACTATATAACGCACAGCGAAACAAAAAATAATCCATGCTGCCAGGACGCATTGCAGAGCTTACGTGTGTTGGTGACGAAGTTATGTAGCCGGATGCGCCTTTGAGATCCTGAATTTTTCCCATGCTGCGCTTTTATCAGCGATAATTTTTAGCTAAAATGTATCACTAGAATAACCTATGTTCACTAGATACAACATTGCATTTTTAACTACCGTCCAAGGTCAAGTCACTGACTGGCAGGTGACCTATGTGACCTCCACATACTTCAAGGAATCAACAACATGTAGCCGGCGGTCTTTCAAATAATATCCATGTGAGCTATGTTGCACGCCAAATCGCCAGCGGCATTTCAAGGTCATGGTATGACCTTATTATTCAATCAGATACACATTACAAGGTCGGGGATGCAAGCAACTGTATGCATCACTCATAGAATGAACTGGTCATCTTTCAGTGATTTGTTATTACAAAAGAACGTCTTGGAAGGGTTATGGATGTAGTAAAAAGAAGCAAGGTCACAGGGTTGAAACAAATTATAGTTGGTCTTTATCATTGCTCACGGCTGAGCATATCATCCGGTTTCACACGATGTGCTAGTTTTATCGGATGTAAGTGGTAATTGCACAAATTAGCACTCTGTTCCCCTCTCACTTTCCAAATGATCCTCAAACTACGATGATTATATGTCGTGACCTATGTGAGCTAGAAAGCTAAAGTTAGCAAAGATCGTGGACATCATATGGAGTCTAGGAAAACCTATGCACCAAATGTGCCGACATCTCAGGGATCATAGTAAATATGCCTTGGTGAGACCGAACACTATAATTGCCGAACTGAAATGTATAATTCGAAACCTATAATTGCCGAACTGTGCCTAACATGGATATCACTGACATGCATCTAAAACTTACAAAATGCTCCAATGGGCTCATCCAGTCGCCAGCGTCCTTGAAACTCATCTAGCCGCCTTGATTCCGTAGGAAATACCCTTGCAAGTCGCGTCGCAGCGTCGCGAGACCCGCGATTGCTTAGAAGAGCCAATCTAAACGCTGCGAAGTGTTCGAAGGCTTTAATGAACCAACCTCTATTTTCAGTTGGGAAAAGTATTTGCACCACGACGGCGAAATATTC